CCAAAAATTCCAATAATTACAAATAATTCCCTGATAAATTATTTTTAATCTTATATTCATCTTCTAAGCCTCAAACATTATTTGTACCCTCCTTTCTATTTTTCATGATTTTCTGGGAATTTTCAGGAATTTTGGACATTATTTCCAATATTGCCCTTTCTTGACCGATCTTTTCAAAAATGACCGTTATGTCCCTATCCTGATTTTTCCTCATAGCCTGGATCCTCTACCAGTCTACTATACTATTTGGCCTTAGTCAGTCACAAATCATTCATCAATTAGAATAAAATTATCAGGGTGTGACAGGGAATCTTATGATATGTTAGGAATTTCTTATGATAATCATCAACATCTGAAACGTATCTTAATGCCTGAAAGTTGGATAGGATGGCCCTTGTGTAAAGATTAGTAAGATCTTTGGCCAAAGAAGAGGGGTTGATCCGTATCACCTTGACTTGGTTCTGATTTCTTTATTTTTTTTAAGAATACCGAGTCGGGTTCTTATGGTTGATCTAATTTGCATTATATATCTTTATGCTCATTGTCACATCCTGAATTTTTTGTCCTAGAAGTACCAAAATTAGCCTGTAATGGGTAGGCTACCAAACCCTTTTTGGCAGATGTAACATCCCAAAATTTAGAACCCTAATAATGGGAGTGTGCGAAATGAGATATGATTGATAAGCATAAGGTATGAGTAAAGCATAAAAACCCAAAATGGGACGAAACCGACTTTATCGGGTCCCTAGGGGCAAAACGGTAATTTTGAAAAAAGTTTCCAAAAATTACTTAAAGATAGAAAAAAATGGAATTAGAGGTTTTTGAGTTACACATGATGTTTTGGGAGTGAGAATAGTCCAAAATAAATTTTGGTGAAAATTCCCAAAAAATTAATTATTTTTGGGAAAATAGGGAAAAATAAAGGGAAATTAAAGTAATAAAATTATTTTAATTACCTAAGGACTCCGAAAATCCAAGGAAAAATATGGATACACTCCCTAGGAATATATATGAATTGATAAAATTGTTTCAAGAATTGGAAATACAGGAAATACTTTACGGGGAATTTATTTCCAAATTCCTATCGGTAAGAACCCGATTTCGGAGAAAATGTGAAATAAATATCTAGAGGTCTTGAAAAATTCCCAAAACTTCCAGATCACAATATTGGAATAAATAGGGAATTATCATGAAAGGAAATGAAAATTTTGAAGCCCCTAGCTATTTTTCCTAGTAGAGGGCAAGAAATCGGGTATTATGTGACCGAATGAATTTTTAAATTACCCTAACTAATTCCATTGCTTCCTAACCAGTTTTTACCATTTAGTTAGCATCCAACAAGGCCCAAATTCGTGCTCACCATGATCAGAACAGCTGGCTTGTGTGCTGGGCAAATTTTCAACCATTGGATCAACTCTCTTGGAAAGTGAGTCAAAGCATGTGTGGCTAGGATTTGTTCTTCATTTTGGCCGACATTTGCACTTATTTTGGGGCAGAAATAGCTGCCCAAGGGCAGGTTTTTGGCAGTAAATGAGCTCTATAAATACCCCCACAAGGCACTCAAAATTCGGACAGAATTGGGACAATAGAGAGGAGGTTCTGCACAATTTTCTTCTTGGCTTCCAAACACTCCTCAAATCACCTCCAATCCAAGGTTAATCATCAAGCTTTAATCCAAGAATCCTTGAGGTATGTTTAGGCTTTAATTTGATGCTTTTTTCATGGTCAAACCGTGACTTAATTTGAGGGGGAAGTGCTGTTTCATTTCTGTTGTGCTGGAAGTGCTAGGAAAGGATAGGAAATTGAGTATGAGTTGTGTTGTTGATGTTTGGTGCGGTTTTGAATGGGTTATGGAAGAAATTACCCTCTGAACTATGACTTTTTAGTTCAGCCAACTCAAGAACTCAAGAGTAGGAATTGTTTCAATAAGTTTTAGTGGTCCCAATGGATTTAAAATGTGATGGTATGTAGGATTATGCTAAGGAAGTGTGTTCAAATTCATTGGAATCAAATATGAAAATTTATGAACCTAATAGGAAGTGTTCAGCCATCTTGAATATATGGAATTATGATTGGATTTTGATGGTTTTGATGCTTCCATTGAACTCCTTGGGCTTTTTGTGTAGGGTTATATGGAGGAATTGAATTTGGAAGCATTAAAAATCAAAGTTGGAAATTTTGACATTTTTCCTTGGAAAATTCGTTTCTGTTTTGACCAGAACTTAAGGAAGGGATCTGATTTTGTAAAATTTGATTTGATATTTGAATTCTACATGAAAAACCATGTAGGAATGGCCAAGGAGGTTTCTTGAATCAAAAGGAAAACAATTAGGCCAAAAATCCCAAAAAAGAAGGGTTTAATGTTTAAGTAATAGGGAATGTGTTTGAATAATTGTGGAATGATTGGCATTGGTGTTGGTTTGATAGGTACCTTGCCAAATCCTCAAGAAAACATCTTGAACTTAAAGGAAATCAAGGACCAAATACCAAAAGGTAGCATTGAATTACACTTTGATTGTTTTCTTGCTTACATTGATGTGTTAATGTGAATGTGTGCAATGTATGGCATGATGTGACTAAGCTTTATTGCAAATGTTGATTGCAATGTTTGAATTATGTTGCCTTGGCATTATGTCCATTAAATATGTGTATGATAGCTTACTTTCCATGGCATAAAAGCATGAACATATGAACAAGATATCTGCACAAAAGCATTGCACGTAGTGTTTGCAGGAATGCATGATAATTGTGATTCTGTGCTACTGGGATTTCTTTGAAATCTCACTCTTATGTTTAACACCACTTAGGAGGGAGTTCAAGCAAGGGCAAAGGCAAAGAAATTGTCCCGGAGACCTAATGAACAATTAATGTACCCTAGTGTAAATTTTTGGAACTTGTTATGTAATATTATGACTTTGGAAATGTTTGTTGGATAATAGCTCCTAAGGGGAGCCAAGCATGTATGTCTATGTTTAAACATGTGAAAGCCTAGTAGAATGTATGTTCAAGCTTGTATTAAGCCTCAAATAATTAAGGATGGGTAAAAGGTTATGAAAGAGTCATTACAAAGGTAATTAGGGGATAACATTTGACTAAAAAGGACCAAACTTGGTGCATATGAAATAAATAGCAAATGTTTGAATATGGATTTGAAATTTGGCAGACTAATAGATCATATTTTTAGCTTTAAATCAAGTGGTAGATCATTAAATTTGGAATTTTGTAGAAAGAGTTATGCCCTTTCGAAGTTGGATAAAAATACTGGGAATTTCAGAATTTTCCAAATGAACAGTACATAATTGCGTGGGAACTAGCATTGATCTGTGAGAAATTGATACCTGTGAACATTTTTCTATGTAGAGCATTTCATAAGCTTCGTGTGAGACTTAGGAACCACTCTGTTCTGATTTTTCTACATTTAGTTATGATTTTTCAAAGTTGACCTGATTTTTAAGGGTTACATGAATAGTAACCGAAATCAAAATTTTAAATCTTGGTTTTTACCTACTTTGAGCATCGTGTAACGATTCCAAATAGTTCTAAAGGACGTATAATGGGGTTTAAAATGAAGGTGTGACATTTTTGGTATCAGAGCAAAGGTTCTGGACTATCTTTTATATGTACTGTTCGATAAGGTAATGCATTAGGATAATGCATATTTGATTGTGTGTGATGTGTTATGTCGTGAAAGGTGTGCATTGGACTAACCTTGATGCAGGATATGGCTTGTTGTGAGCATGATTCTCCTGGGGGTACAGTTGATCAGAGAGGGCCAGGGGAACCATACCCGGACTGGTATCACCCACATGTTTCTGACCCTGATGACCCGACTCCACCACCCGGATATTATCAGCCTCTCTGGGAGGTAGAGGATATAATTCCCGAGGTAGACTCCAACGGTAGTAAAAGGTTAGAGGATGATGAAGCTGGGAGTGCTATGGGGCTTAAACTTAACCCGGACAAAGCCGGCCCTAGTGGGACGAAGCCACAACCTATCAGAGTAGTGCGCCGTGATCAGATCTTAGAGAAGGACCTGCCTCCGAAGAAGAGGCGACGGTTAGTCACAAAGGAGCTGCACACCTATCAGGCTGTTTTTAAGGAGCTCTGTAAGCTGGGGAGGAAGATTGACATCTCCCAGAACCAGTATGGGTACATTTACATGGACTATTTTTACTACGTACGACTGTTACATAGTGATGTCACTGACCAGGACAAGGGAGAGATAGATGAGGAGATGTGGGGACAGGCCTTAGTCGACACTTTGCCAAGGACCCCTGTTTGGCAGGATCAGATCTAGTTGATTAGTGACCATTCCAAGCAAGACGCCTATGGAAGCTTTGATCAGATCTTGGACGAACTTGAGCTTTTTGTTACTTCTTATTTTCCTTTCTCTCCCCTATCTTGAGTGGATGACTGTATATGTGACTTAGATGATCTATGTTTTGGATGATTATACCTGAAACCTATCTATGTACAAATATGAAGTATAGCTTAGTATAAAATATTTTGATAACCAAGAAATAATCTTATTCCTCTGTTCCTCTTGTAGTAAAAAGTTAAGTAAAATGGTGAGAACCCGAAGAGAAACACAACCAAGGGAGGCAGCAAGGGAACCTCCTATTGACCCGATTCAATTGGTTATGGACCGACTGGAGGAACAGCAGAAGGTGATGCAAGAAATTCAGGCGGCCCAAGCCCGCCAAAACCAGGAACGCGATGCTGCCATAGCAGCCGCAGTGACAGCAGCTATAGCACAGCTGCAACAGCCCGGGCCAAGCGTGGCCGAAGCACCACAGCCAGCTCAACCTCAAGAGCCGGTAGCTGAGCAGATACGACCTGCAGGGGATCCTGATTCACTAAGACAGTGGATCAAACGATTCAGTGCACAGAATCCCCCGAGTTTCACAGGGACATTGAATGTCCAAGTGGGTGAGGACTGGATTACTCGGCTAGAGAAGATTTTTAATGTGCTTGAATGTTCTTCTGAGAGAAAAGCTTAGATGGCTATCTACAAACTGGAGGGTGAAGCTGATCGCTGGTGGAAGAACACCGAGATGATCCTCCAGGAGAATGCAACCCCTATTACCTGGGAAGTGTTCAAGGAACACTTTAATTTGAAATACTTCCCACAGTCAGTAAGAGACGAAAAAGAGGTGGAATTTCTGATGATTCAACAAGGTCCTCGAGAGTCCTTTGATGAGTACCTAGACAGGTACATGAGGCTCTCTCGTTACTCTAACTACCTCCAACTCCGCAATGATGAGCGGTGGAAAACAGAGAAAATGGTAAGGGGACTAAGGCAGAAGCTGAGGGAGAAGGTAGCTCCACAGCAACTTGAAAAGTTTCACCAGGCAGTGGAAGCCTGCCGGATTACTGAAAGTAGCCTGAACCACCAGGCGCTAGTCAGGGCTGCTCCTAGACCAGAAGGACCAGTAACAAGGAGCGGACCAGAGGGGACTTCTTTTGGAGGAAATAGGAAAAGGCGAAAGCCTATCTTTTCCAAGAAGTCTAAACGAGGAGGAGGAGTAAGGCAAGGAGGAAGCAGCACTACACGTCAGACCAAGGAATGTAGCACCTGTGGTAAAAACCACGGAGATCGACCCTGTTTGATGGGTCAAAATGTGTGCTTCCGATGTGGCAAGCCAGGACACTATATAAGGGAGTGCCCCCTTAATGTGGATGGCTCGAGGCCCAAGCTCAAGGGAGGGTCTTTGCCCTCACAAAGGAAGAGGCTGATAAGTCACCTGAGATGATACAAGGTACGATTCAAGTTAATAATTACCTTGTGCATGCTATCTTTGACTCGGGTGCTAGCCACTCCTTTGTTTCATATGAATGCGTGAAGCGCATAGGCCTTGCTGTTAACACATTATTATATGATCTATGTGTGGCTACTCCTACGGGCACCAAAGTTTATACGTCTGATGTTTGCCTAAATTGTATTGTCCGGTATGGCCACTGTTGCACTACACTTGACCTAATATGTATGCCTTTTCATGAGATTGATGTGATACTTGGTCTGAATTGGCTGTCTACCCATAATATACTCCTTGACTGTAAGAATAGGACTTTGATTTTTCCTCCCCATGAGCTAACCCCTCATACCGAGGTGAAACTGAACTTGATTACGGGAGCCCAAGCCGGAGATTGCCTAAGACATGGCTGTCAGGGTACGTGGTATTCTTCTCTGTACATGCAGAAGTGGAAGAAGGCATATCAGAGATACCCGTGGTATGCGATTTTTCGAAAGTCTTTCCGACAGAAATTAGCGGGTTACCTCCGGAGCGAGAGGTAGAGTTTGCAATTGACCTAGTACCTGGGGCAGGGCCAATTTCCAAAGCCCCATATCGTATGGCTCCAAATGAAATGGCAGAGTTAAAGAAGCAATTAGAGGAACTATTAGAAAAGAATTTTATCCGGCCCAGTGTGTCACCATGGGGAGCACCCGTCTTATTCGTTCGTAAGAAGGACGGTAGCCTAAGGTTATGCATTGATTACCGGGAGCTCAACAAAGTGACGATTAAAAACAAGTACCCACTACCTAGAATAGACGATTTGCTAGACCAATTAGCTGGTGCCACAGTGTTCTCCAAGATTGACTTGAGATCAAGTTACCACCAACTGAGGATTAAAGCAGAGGACATTCCGAAGACCGCTTTTCAAACACGGTATGGGCACTACGAGTTCTTGGTAATGCCCTTTGGACTAACGAATGCCCCTGCGATTTTCATGGATTACATGAACAGGATCTTTCGGCCATATTTAGATCAGTTTGTGGTGGTTTTCATTGATGATATCTTAGTATATTCCAAGTCACCAGCGAGCACGAACAGCATTTACGGATTGTTCTAAGTATTTTAAAGGAGAAACGGCTATATGCCAAACTCAGCAAGTGCGAGTTTTGGCTAAATGAAGTAAAGTTCTTGGGTCATGTGATTACCCAAGATGGAGTAGCAGTAGATCCCAGTAAGGTGGAAGCAGTTTTGAGTTGGGAGCAACCAAAAACAGTAACAGAAATACGAAGCTTTCTGGGATTGGCAGGTTACTATAGAAGATTTATTAAAGATTTTTCGAGAATTGCACAGCCCCTGACTAAACTTACACGTAAGAACCAGCAATTCGTGTGGGATGATAAATGTGAGGCTAGCTTCCAAGAGCTGAAACGGAGGTTGACCTCGACCCCTGTGCTGATAATTCCCGATCCAACCCTACTGTATGTTGTATATACCGATGCTAGCAAGCAAGGATTGGGGTGTGTATTAATGCAACAAGGACGAGTAGTCGCCTACGCCTCACGACAGTTAAAGTCTCATGAAGAGAATTATCCCACTCACGACTTAGAATTAGCTGCAATAGTTTATGCCTTAAAAATCTGGAGGCATTATCTATATGGGGCAACCCTTGAACTATATTGTGACCACAAAAGTCTTAAGTACCTGCAAGATCAAAAAGAACTAAACATGAGACAACGGCGATGGATGGAGTTGCTCAAGGATTATGACTACCAGATAAAATACCATCCGGGCAAGGCTAATGTGGTAGCTGACGCCTTAAGCCGAAAGGTAGTACAAGTAGCATTCCTAATGATTCAGGAATGGAAACTCATCGAAGATGTGAGAGATTGGGAACCTTTGTCCCATATGAAACTAATGACCCAGAAAGTAGAGGTGATGAGAGCAGGAGCCCAGCTGATAGAACAAATCAAAGAGGCCCAGAAAATGATCCGGTAGCTGATACACTTCGGATTAAGCTAACAAAAGCTGAGGATGATGCGATCGAGGCGTCACCAGATGGAATATTGAAGTATAAGGAACGGGTATATGTTCCGGAGTCCATCAGGCAACAACTATTGGAGGAAGCACATAAGAGCAAATATACGATACATCCGGGAATGACAAGATGTACCAAGACCTCCGATGTATATTTTGGTGGCCTGGCATGAAGAAGGACATAACAAAGTATGTATCTAAATGCCTCACTTGCCAGAAGGTCAAAACGGAGCATCAGAGACCATCAGGGCTTTTACATCCTCTAAATATTCCGGAATGGAAATGGGATAGTATCTCGATGGATTTCATCATGGGGTTACCCCATACCTCATCTGGATATGACGCGATATGGGTGATTATTGATCGATTAACGAAGTCTGCCCATTTTCTGGCAATGAAGAAAGACTACCAACCAGAAAAACTTGCCAAGTTATATATAAAGAAATTGTGAGATTACATGGAGTGCCAGAGTCGATTGTATCTGACCGAGATCCTCGGTTTCTATCCCGATTCTGGAAGGCACTGCAGCAAGCAATGGGCACCAAGCTGAGTTTCAGTACAGCGTATCACCCACAGACAGACGGTCAAACAGAGCGAACCATACAGACACTGGAAGATATGTTGAGAGCCTGTGTATTGGATTTCAAAGGTAACTGGGATGACTATCTGCCATTGGCAGAATTTGCTTATAATAACAGTTATCACTCCAGTATACAAATGGCTCTGTATGAAGCTTTGTATGGTCGCAAGTGTAGATCCCCACTGTGTTGGACAGAATTAGGGGAGCGAAAGCTATATGGGCCAGACCTAGTCGAGCAAACAACTGAAAGGATAAGGTCGATTAGACAGAAACTGCTCACGGCCCAAAGCAGACAAAAAAGTTATGGGACGTTCGGCGAAAGCCTTTGACCTTCGATATAGGAGACCATGTGTTCTTGAAAGTGTCTCCGACAACGGGAGTAGGAAGGTCTTTGAAATCGAAGAAATTGTCACCAAAATACATCGGACCTTTCCAGATTCTGTCGAAAGTAGGACCGGTGGCATATAAAGTAGCCCTACCCCCGAATCTTAGTCAGATACATGATGTCTTCCATGTATCCCAGTTAAAGAAGTATCAGCCAGATCCCTCTCATGTTTTAGAATATGAAGATATCACACTGCGAGATGACCTAACTTGGGAGATCAAACCAGTAAAGATCATTGATCGTCAAGTAAAACAGCTGCGGTGAAAATCATCCCAATGGTTAAAGTCATCTGGGAGAATCTGGCACAAGAAGAAGCAACATGGGAGAGGGAAGACGACATGAAAGATAATTATCCCGAGCTCTTCAAATAAGGTACATTTTAAATTTCGAGGACGAAATTTATTTTAAGGGGGAAGGAAATGTAACATCCCAAAATTTAGAACCCTAGTAATGGAGTGTGCGAAATGAGATATGATTGATAAGCATAAGGTATGAGTAAAGCATGAAAACCCAAAATGGGACGAAACCGACTTTATCGGGTCCCTAGGGGCAAAACGGTAATTTTGAAAAAAGTTTCCAAAAATTACTTAAAAATAGAAAAAAATGGAATTAGAGGTTTTTGAGTCACACATGATGTTTTGGGAGTGAGAATAGCCCAAAATAAATTTTGGTGAAAATTCCCAAAAAATTAATTATTTTTGGGAAAATAGGGAAAAATAAAGGGAAATTAAAGTGATAAAATTATTTTAATTACCTAAGGACTCCAAAAATCCAAGGAAAAATATGGATACACTCCCTAGGAATATATATGAATTTATAAAATTGTTTCCAAGCATTGGAAATACAGGAAATACTTTATGGGGAATTTATTTCCGAATTCCTATCGGTAAGGACCCGATTTCGGAGAAAATGTGAAATAAATATCTAGAGGTCTTGAAAAATTCCCAAAACTTCCAGATCACACTCTTGGAATAAATAGGGAATTATCATGAAAAGAAATGGAATTTTTGAAGCCCTAGCTATTTTTCCTAGTAGAGGGCAAGAAATCGGGTATTATGTGACCGAATGAATTTTTAAATTACCCTAACTAATTCCATTGCTTCCTAACCAGTTTTTACCATTTAGTTAGCATCCAACAAGGCCCAAATTCGTGCTCACCATGATCAGAACAGCTGGCTTGTGTGCTGGGCAAATTTTCAACCATTGGATCAACTCTCTTGGAAAGTGAGTCAAAGCATGTGTGGCTAGGATTTGTTCTTCATTTTGGCCGACCTTTGCACTTATTTGGGGCAGAAATAGCTGCCCAAGGGCAGGTTTTTGGGCAGCAAATGAGCTCTATAAATACCCCCACAAGGCACTCAAAATTCGGACAGAATTGGGACAATAGAGGGGAGGTTCTGCACAATTTTCTTCTTGGCTTCCAAACACTCCTCAAATCACCTCCAATCCAAGGTTAATCATCAAGCTTTAATCCAAGACTCCTTGAGGTATGTTTAGGCTTTAATTTGATGCTTTTTCCATGGTGTGACTTAATTTGAGGGGGAAGTGCATTTCTGTTGTGCTGGAAGTGCTAGGAAAGGATAGGAAATTGAGTATGAGTTGTGTTGTTGATGTTTGGTGCGGTTTTGAATGGGTTATGGAAGAAATTACCCTATGAACTATGACTTTTTAGTTCAGCCAACTCAAGAACTCAAGGGTAGGAATTGTTTCAATAAGTTTTAATGGTCCCAATGGATTTAAAATGTGATGGTATGTAGGATTATGCTAAGGAAGTGTGTTCAAATTCATTGGAATCAAATATGAAAATTTATGAACCTAAGAGGAAGTGTTCAGCCATCTTGAATATATGGAATTATGATTGGATTTTGATGGTTTTGATGCTTCCATTGAACTCCTTGGGCGTTTTTGTGTAGGGTTATATGGAGGAATTGAATTTGGAAGCATTAAAAATCAAAGTTGGAAATTTTGACATTTTTCTTTGGAAAATTCGTTTCTGTTTTGACCAGAACTTAAGGAAGG